TGTTGGTGAGGCTCGTCGGGCTAATTATGGGATGCCCCCTGTACACGTTTCTTACAGAGGCGCAGTACCGGGAGCAACTTATTGAGTGTGGTTACGACGGACAACATATTGAGATTCGAGATGTTTCGGATCATGTGTTTGCCGGCGTGTCCGGGTATTTGAAAAGACAGGAAGCTGCCCTAGGCCAGTATGGTATATCCCTGGGAGGTTACAAGTTGGCAGGGAGGCTGTTTGAGTGGTTTGATAGGACTAGAGTGGTGAAGGCAGCCATTGTGGTTGGGCGGACAAAGGGGACAAGCTGAATACGTTTGACGTGTCCTTGAACAGAATGTCGTGTGTCTTGGTGAACACCTATGGCCAACCTCCTTTTTTTGACTATTTCAAGTGGAACTAGACAAGGCGGTGAAGCGGCATTGCGCTCTTTTACCGCCTCCATTCTGTTTGTTGAATTGGGTTGAGGATCCATGGCACGTTCCTGGAGTCTCGTGATGTTAGGCACCCGAGGTCATTTCACGTCTCATTCTGGTGTCCCCCCATGTGCTGCCAATCCCACTTCTGCCTCTGGACGCAATTGATGGAAATGGATGTCATGTTCGATGCTTCCAAGAAAAGACGGAGCGTGATGTAGCACACATTATGCAACATATACAGATAACTCGGGAGAAACCATGGCTGACACTCAACAGCTAGGAGGCAACACGCTGACGACCAATGCTTTTCTCAAACACACTATATGCAGCTTGTGCCTGATTTCCTGGTTCCTCCTGGGCTCTTTCGTAAAGGCTACCCGTTGCAGTGGGAGCGGAACGGCCTGTGCCGAGGGATTCTAGGCCCAACTTGCCAAAACTTTAGATCATACTTCGAGTTAGATTAGGAGACGTAAATTTAGACATGGCACATCGCTCAGGTGCTCCTATATTTTTGTAGTATGAGTAAAAGTAACTGTCTATCATTATAGGACCGTCAGTTGACAGATTGCCGCGGGGGCGTAATCAAATTCCTCCCATAGGCTTCTTCGCTGTTCAAGAAGAAACGTGACAATTTCTCATATTACCACACAATATGCATGTTGATGAGCCTCCCATGATTAGCACCTGCTTCATGTAGGCGCTGCAACGGATTGTGGGTGTGCCGGAACATTTCCCTGGAGATAATGTGCCTGTCGATCACTGCTAGCAGCAGCGAGAATCCACGTTGATGGAACAGCTTGGATTAAACTACTTTTTCTCATGCTGTTGTGGTCGAATTCTAATAGCCCAGAAACTGCTTGTGTGGGCCGATGCAGTGACGTACTCTGGTCCTGTTTACTTTTCGAAAGGCAACCTAAACCTTTCATGGTAAATATTCCTAACAGTAATGGTCTAGCTGAAGCCTCAGTCACAAATTTGAAGGTCCCAAGTGCGGAAAAATCAGGATTCGTCGAGCTTACGATAATGCTGACGGGTCTATATTCTCAAATATCAGCTATGTGGACTCTATTGGTATGATCCTCAGCACGCAAGCTACTACCAAGGACGGCTCCGGCAAACTGCTGACAAAAGGGCTGGGCAGTGGCGCTGTGTCAGCATATGCAAGGGCCTGGGTAACTCATTCACGGAAGGATAAGCGCAACTGGGAAGCCAAGAGTATTGTTCAACGCTCGGGTGCTCCCGTCCGTGTACTGTCCCCCAGTGACTTTGCCGTGATCAAGCCGTCCAACCTTCAAAACTACTGGCAGGCATATGTCGACCAGGTTTGGAGCTGTCATAGCCACAATCCACTCGCCATGGACACTCAAGGTTCAGCGGGCAAGGTCATATGCCGCTTGAACGGAATTCGAATGTCTTGCAATAGCGATAACATGTCGTATAACGAACTCATAGATAGAGATATTCGGGGCTGCAATAGTGGTCCCGTTGGAAATTGGGGGGAGATAAAAGCGTCCACCTTGGCGTTCTTGCTCAGATCTACGCAGCATTTCATCGTTCAACCCTGCTTATAATGGCAGGGATATTCAACCGAATTTTCCTGCTTCTAGGCGCTACGAAGTTGATTCCACGGAAAACTGTAGCGGAGTCGTCAGTGACCATGAAGTTGTCTTGAAACGATGACGTCAAACGCAATGGCGAGAGCGGCTCCAGGGTGGTTTCGTCTGGACACCCAAGCGTTTTGACGGTTTCCTCTGGCGCTCCGCCCCAATGGCCAAAAATAGGCATCTCATACATGCCTCGTTGTAAATTCACGCCATGGTTCGTTGTGATTGTCGGGTATGGTTGCGTCGCGTCCAGATCAAACGGGAGTGTCCAAAACGGACCTGGTCCCTTTGTACATCAGGCCTCGGACAGCTTGCAAATCAGTTCATAGGTGCAAGGGCAAATGTAATTTCTTCATCTCCCTGGATATTACCCAAACCTCACCCATGATTTGAGTTTCTACAGAGATGTTAGCCAGCCAGCATCGCAGGCATAGGCCAGTGAACGTAGAGTGAGAGGCAAAAGGCGTCTGTTAAAGCGTTTCCTGTTTCCGTGCGTAACACAGCTGTTGCTTTCATTGTGCATAAGCAAATAGGACGTGTTGAACAACGCCTACCTGTCCCTCCTTCATTAGGCAAGGGTTGGCGTGACTGTTGGACGGAGCGAATCGTTCCGGTGCCTGGTCTCAGTCCGGGACAAGGAGGACAGCAAGTGGTGTGGTGGGATGAACCGTAGTACAATCATTCCATCCCGTGAAATCACCCACATCCAGGGGTAATCGTGGCCGACTTCAGAATGAGCTGCGCCTCGTATCATGATATACCTGAGGGGGGTTGGAAAGGAGAGACATCTGGAGCTTCATATGCCTCGCTGGAAAGAGCGCATGGGGTGGTGACAGCCAGCGTGGTCTGAACTCTACGGTGGAAGGAGCGACCGAGTGGAGCAAGGAACAAACTTCCCTTGCTTCGTGGGTTCTCTTTTTCATGTTCAATGCACCAATTCGAAGGCTTCGAACTGCTTGGCAATGGACTTGCGCATACGAGGAGTGCTTTGTTCCATATCCAGTCTGCGCCTCAATCAAGGTGATGCGCCGACATGAGATTGCACTTCATGGTCGTTCCACACTGACCTTGGGGCATGGCAACGCGATCTACGGAGTAACTTGTCCACAACATCAGGTTATGGATTACTCCATACGCAGGTCCGCATCCCCAGAACCATGTCCTAGGCAACCCATCGGCAAATGAGACTTGTTGTGGTGAGTTTGGCAAGACAAAGGCGTTTTCCATTTCTTTTGCTGCATCTGCCGCCATAAATGAGAAACCTCCAAGTCAATCGGAACACGATATCGAAAGGCTCGAAAGCCATTTGTGTGAGTGGCCGGACGCGCGTCAAAGCCTAAGCCCCCTTTGCAGATGACGCCGCTCAGTGCTCTTCCAATAAGTACATATAAGTTACAATACGATAGTGCTGCAGAAGACGCGGCGATCTCATGTGGCGCTGGATCTTCGGGAGTGTTTGGGTCTCATGCCGCGAAACAGTAGTCCGTATCCCTTGCGGAGTACTTTGTCGACGTCGCCGTGGAATTATTTATGGATCAGTGGCTCCGTAAGAGGCTCGTATAACGGTGGACGTCGAATGCACTTGACACCAGACTCGGCGCTGTGGACGCAATTAAAAAAAGAGAGGGGGGGAGACAGGATGGAGGAAAAATGAGGTTGGCACTGGGCGGCTGCTCAACAAGCGCTTTCAGGCAAGTTTGCAAAACACATTCTGGGCCACGGCAACCAGTGGTTACGAGTCATCCAGCTTCATGCCAGACGGTCGCAACACTCAGCCAACATTTCAAGTCAAGGCGCGGCCACACCCAACCCACTGGGCATTACAAGCCATCAATAATAGCATTACAATGTGACTGCATGCAGCCAATGCAACTATGTGCGTACGTATAACGGCAAAACTTTAAGTCCAGACCCCACCATGGCCACCTGCGACGCATTCAGTAGTGATGCATTTCGCAAAGAAAGCTTGCCTGCGATTGACGAAGACAACAGCCTCCAGTCAGTCCATCTGAACAAGTCGGGTGCCGAGCTCCTGTCAATCGGCGCTCCAGGTTGACTGGACCCAACATTGACATGGGACCACTCGCTAATAAAAACAGCCAGGCAGCTCACAACATTGAAGCACCGTTGACCACCGGACCAGGCCAGGCCCCCGGACAGACCAGTTGAGTCGACCCCAGTGCCGTTGGCATGTGGCGGTTACAGGGGGGTGGGTCCCCTGCCACTCAACTGGAGATGTGCCAATGTTGCGCCAGTCCAGCCAATGTCGACATGGACGAATGCGAATCTACCGCCCCTGAGCCTGTGCCTGGCCCTTGATAACTTAAACGTTGAGCTTCCTTGCACAAGACTGCAGAAAGCCGCCATCCAGAATGCGCCTTTGTCCCCACTCCCTTGCAAGTCAGCCATCAAAGGCATTGCATCTGGCCGTTCATGCTTCTTTTGCATGCCCATGTCTATAACTCCCTCTGTATCCATGCTCAGGTGTACCGGACAATAGCATACCATTGTACCGTGCCGTGCCATGAGGACATGTAGCATCTTGCTATCAGTTGATGTTTCCGTCCATTCATATTGCGTCTCGCTCGCCCCTTTGCCGCCTTCCTGCTTCTTTTATCCTGCACATGTGCCTCCTTGCCGCCACCCGCCACCTCCCCCAACCTACTGCCAACCCATCGACCAACAAACTGTCCACCACCAACCACGAACCGCCAACCACCAACTCAAGCCTTTCTTTTTGCAGCCACTAGGCCAGTTGGCGTTTATTATCACGTTGCTGGCATCTGCTGCCCCAGCACTTCAGTCTGGTTTTTGTTTTCATCGTGCCTCTTTTGTGTCGAAAAAGCTTCCTCTCGGCTTCCTTCCCCACTGCCTCGTGTGGTTGTTCGGGGAATTCTTCCTTTTCACAACTCTTCGGCGCTCGTAGACGATAACCGATCTTGTACTTTGATGCCCAGAGCAACGCCGTCACAGCCATCCGAGCATCATGTCATTTGCAAAAAAATTGGACCGAGCCGTCCAATGGGCCGGCGAGAAGATGGGCTCAGAGGCCAAAACTGCACACTCGGATGAGTTCCAGAGGCTAGAAGCTGAAATGGCACTTCGTCAAGAAGGTTTGCTTTCCTGGTACCTCTTGGTCCTAGTTTGGTGTGAATCTAACACAAGTCCATAGGAATGGAAAGCCTACAAAAGGCGACTACCGCATATTCGAAATGGATCTCTCGTCGATGTGATGCATCTGAGGACAAGAGTCGAGCTCCTCCGACCGCTATGCTTGGTCGTGCCATGGTAGCGCATGGCAATGATTTTGAACCGCATTCGGAGTTTGGCAATCACCTTGTGGCTGTTGGCCGTGCCAATGAGCGAATTGCGAACCTACATAGCAACTACACCGAAGACGTCAATGCCAACTGGCTCCATCACTTGGATCGAAACGTTGCCATGATGAAAGAGTTTCAGGTAGGGCCCACCGACTTTCTACTTATTGATGCCATCACATCGTTTTGTACAGGAGATGTTGCTAACAGTCTGGATTTATTAGGTGGCTCGCAAGAAGCTAGAGAGCCGACGCCTTGCTTATGATGCCAGTGTTGCCAAAATGCACAAGGCTAAACGCGATGATTTCCGTATCGAGGAAGAAATGCGTGTCAGCAGAACCAAGTTTGACGATGCTAGCGAGGATGTTATGCGTCGCATGCAGGACGTTCAAGACACAGAGGCGGAGTCGATTGGTGCCCTGAACTCATTTTTGGAAGCTCAACTCAATTATCACGAAAGAGCCGCCGAGGAACTTCGACGTATCCGCCAGTCACTAGTAGACGGCGGCCGAGCAGACTCCCCCCAACTTGACGAAATTCGCATCTCCCGAACCCGGTCTTCTACCGCAACATCTTGGCACAAAACAAGACAAGTCTCTTCGGAGCAATTGAGTCCAGCCGAGAGACTACCTATTCGTCGCTTGGCAAGCTCCCAGGCTGCCCAGCCGCCCCCGCCTCTGCCGGCACCTTCCCAAGATCCGCGCCAATCGTTGGTCCGTGCTGCTACATTTGGTGAACGAACTCCATTAGCATCTACGGGCACTAGAATGCCAACTTTAGCGCGCACTGCGACTGACAGGAGTTCGCATACTAGTCCTTCCGAGGATATTTTTAGAGATGATGAGTCTACCGGCAGCGGAGATGGAAGCGCTGGATGGGGCAATCGTAGTACGAGTTCTGCTACCAGCTACGACAGCTCGTCTCGAATGACAAGTGGCCATGAAGTCAAGAAGGCACCTCCTCCACCACCACCTGTGAATAGAGCAAAGAAGCCTCCTCCACCGCCCGTACCGGCTCGCCGGGCTCATTTGGGATATTAAAGAACCTGCGCCGGGCGCTGGTTTCTTCTGGACCATACTGCAGCAGCTTGATGCTCAAATGAGTATGGATTCAACGAAAAGTGGGAAGTATTAGAGGTTCAATGTAGTATACCGTTCTATTAGGGATGCCCAGGATGGGCCCATGAGAAATGACCAAGTTCATAGTTTATTGTAACCATCTGTTTTTGTGGCCAGTTTGGTACCTTTTTGAAATTGTGATAATGAGCAATGTCAAGTGAATGTTCGCCTGGAATCTACGCCACCGCACCTAGCTGTAGGTAGTAGGTCGCGTTACAGGTAGAATTGAAGACGGGTCAAACTTTGCCTGACGTGGTTGGCAAAGCGCGAAACCAACGCCGAGTCACGTGGGGCTAGCTTTCGAAGCTCCCTAGCTCCATTGCGGAGTATACTTTGCAACCTTGCGCCAATCGTGCGAATAGTTTCAACTCTGAGCACTTCCGCACTGGCTTGTAATATACGGCCATGGCTACAGAAGACGAACGGTACCGGCAATCAAGCCAGTTTCGACTATGGTCGTTCTCACCAGCTACCTTGCTGGAGCTACGGGAGAAGACGAATTCATTAGCGAAACAGCAAATCACTCCTCGCATAGATCCTGTTCCCGAGTTCCTTACCTCTGATGAAGAAGCCCAACTGGTCAAATTTTTTACTATTGAACTCATTCGAGCGGCCCAATTCTGTGAATTGCCCACCGAGATTCGATCAACCGCAGCCATGTTTTTGCGACGATTTTACATTACAAACTCGGTCATGACCTACCCACCGACCGAACTATTGAAAACTTCTTTATTCTTCGGTTGTAAAGCAGAGGGCTTCTATATTCGGCTAGCAAAATTGGCTGAAAAGTTTCCTAACACGACAAGCGATCAGATCCTAGCTGGGGAATATTTACTATGTCAAGGAATCCGGTTCGCGTTCGATGTGCGGCACCCTTTTCGAGCCCTTGAAGGCGCTATATTACAACTTAGAATACGTCTACCGGAAGAGGAAACGAGAATAAATAATGCGCACGCGCGGGCTAGAGAGATCCTCAAGTTCAGCGCGCTCGTTACGGATGTGTATTTCCACTTCACGCCTAGCCAAATCATGCTGGCTTCGCTGCTCATGGTGGATCCAGGGCTTGTCGATATTCTGTGCCCCAGACCAGCAGAGGGCGGCGACTCGGATGGGGACAAGGCCGGCGGCATGCACACTGATGTCTATGACAAGATCATGACTACCATTGAGAGCTGCCGAGCCATGCTAGAGGACGAGCCTCCAGAGAGAATGACGGAATACTGGGGCACTGTAAGGTTCTAATCGAGACACTTGATGTTGCATTTCACTAACATCACGTAGCCGGAGATTGTCAAGTCGATGAAACCACTGCGAAAGAAGCTGCAACGATGTCGAGATCCTGACAGAGCTGACCTTGTAGCATTGCAACGGGCGCGACGAGAACAAGCTGTGGCGAAGCCGAAGAAACCGAGTACCACGAATGATGGCGCCGTTTTCGGCGATGCCGAGTCTAGAGATCCAAAGCGCCGGAAAGTTGATAATGCAGATGACATGTTTGGTCCTGCGTTGGGGCAATAATGCCAAGGACAAAGATTGGTTGCTATGCAGCTACGATCTCACTATTATGTATCAAAACAAGACAACCAGGGAAGTGGGATACAGTACAGCTGCCCGTCGCGGCTATGCCATTCCCACGAATACGGCCGGCAGCGCCCAGGTTGGGAGACCAAACTATTCACGCCGAAACGCACCAGCTGCTGCTTTTCCAGCTTGTGAAATGTACAGCACTGGAAACTCTGGCACCCTGCTTGATGGTCACGGCCACAGCCCGGTGTCACCATCTTAACTCTCGCCTGCGGCATACAATATAGACCGGAATGGAGGGCCACGAATCATTTCTGACGGATGATGATATCCGAATCAGCTCATGTGGCTGCGGGTGGAAGACTGCATCACGATTGTAATGTATGCAGGACCGCTCAGTGTAAGTTCCGTATAGTTATACGGGCATGAGGTGCACACACGCGGTTGTAGTTTGGCGCTGCCACGTGGAGTTCCAACACAAGACTTGAGTTGACAGGCGCAACGTACGATTCTAAAATCAGACCATCTAGGTAGATGAATTAGAATCTTGCTCATACCGTATGTATATGGAGGATGTTTGGTCGTTGGGGGGTGAAATAGGCACTAAATCTTGGTGTGTGCAAGGGTAATAGCATTTAGTCTATTTGCTGGCAACTGCCCCCTTGTTACATTCTAGTTCTGTCTTGTTATCTGATCCATGACGCCGACACTCGGTTCTATCTAACACTTCATACTTTTACTTAACCCTGGCGTTGGGGTGCAAGCCGACAAAGGCAGCAAGCCAAGAGCGTTGCAACATGTTCATGTTTTCAAGCCGAACCCAGCTTGAGTGCAAACAAAGCCCGGCAGTCGCGTCGGCCCCTACGGTCTGGACTCCGGACTCCGGATGGGTCTGGCCGTGCGACGGACATGTCGATGCAAATTTATACACAGCAATGGCAAGTGCCAAAAACATACAGGTACATGATGCCAACAGACAGGATAAACGGTCCGTAACTTTTCAAAATTTAATGGTCAATTTCTACGCAAACTAGGCGGGATCCCCGGACACGCGGAAGCCCTCACCGCGGCTACCCTCCACGTCCTGACCGCCGGGGAAACGCTCGTCGTGCCCACGCACACGGGAGACAAGTCCGACCCGGCCGTGCCCGGATCGCGGTGGCAGCCCATCAGGGAGGGCATCCGCAGATGTCTGGTCGTTTGCTGCTGTCGGCGCCAGGGCCGAGTACATCACCGCGGGACACGCGTGCGACGGCATGATGGGGGAGAAGAGCCCGTTGGCCAGGCTGGAAGAGTGCAGCGCAAAGGTGCTGCTCCTGGGGATTGGGCATCAAGTTTGCACGTGTTTGCATTTGGCCGAGTATAGGACCGGGGGGGCGCAAGGGTCAGAATTCGTTTGCGGCAATGGTAGACGGCGAGAGGACTTGGGTCACGGTGGAGGATGTTGTTGCATCGGATGATTTCGAGGACATTTGGAGGGCCATGGAGAGCCAGGTCGAAGTGGTCCGAGGCAAAGTCGGCGCAACGGATTGCATGGTGTTTTCGTTGCCCGCAGCCGTCAAGTTCGCTGACAAGTGGATGTCTACACATAGACAATCAAGAGAATAAGAGACTCATGTGAGGTACGTATGAAATGTGAATGCGGTGCTAACAACCTAATACTACGCCATGTAAAAAATGCATGTAATCTGCTTCATTCGCAATCTCGTAATGCTACTCCAGGCGGCCAAGGAAACTCAAAAGACGCTTCTTTCCAATCACTCCGACCACCTTGGCCGTGTCTTCATCGACAACTACCAAGTGGCTCAGGCCCAAGTTGCCAAACATTTCTACCGCATACTCTAGAGGCGCCCTTGTTGAAATGTTCAAGGGACTGCGGTCTACTAATCGCTCGAAGTTGTCGTCTGCGAAACTGATTAAATCGTTTCCTTCCAGCTCCTGTTGTCCGATGAAATGCAACATAGGGGCAATGTTGCTTTCTGGAATATAGCCGATGCAGATCCCCTGCTCGTTTACAATGATCAATCCAATGTCAAACATTCCTCCGGACAACAGACCGTTCAGTTTCGCCCGAAGGTCGGATATCATGATCTGGTTGTTGGGCTCCGTGTGTAGAATAATTTGCTCCATGACTCTTTTGGGAGGTATCAATACATCCAAGTCCGGAGATTCTTCACCATCTTTTAAAGCTCTCAATTTGACAACAGCTTGCTCCGAGTCTAGAAACGGGTGGCCCATGACGTGTTGAGACAAATCGTAAACCCCATCTGCACTGATTGAGTCTGCAACCCACTTTGCCGTGAGAATGGCGACCATAAAAGGTGGAATGAAGTTGACTTCACCTGTGAGTTCAAACATGATGACGGCCAAACTCACAGTCATTCTGCTGACGCCGGCAAGAAATGCAGCCGACCCAACCATGGCGAAGATTCCAGGTGAGATGCCAGGGACGAGCTGGCCAACCATTCTGCCGAATAGCGCGCCAGCATCCAGCGCAGGGATAATGATGCCAGAGGGTACTTTGCAGCCAAAGGTAATAATTGTTAATGTGAGTTTAATAAATGTACCCGAAATGAGCCATGCATAGTATAAGCCCTTTCCATGCATCTTTGCTTCTTGTTCGCAAATCCAATCTTCCTTGATGTCGTTGCAGTCAACCAATAAACGTTCCATGATGATGTCCCCCGTCTCACGGATGAGAGGGTTGGGATACTGTAAAACAGCCGTGATGAAGACGACGATACAGACTTCTATAACCGGGCTGTTCTTGATCCAGGGCTGCTTTCGAAATGTCTTGGACCACAAAAAATTCGTGCTGCAGAAGACGCCACCGAATACTCCACCACAGATGCCCAGAAAAATGAAGACAAAGTAGTGGATGACATCGTAATCGACGCCGTATTTGGTTTCAAATAGCACCAGTTTTCCAGTCCCCGTAGGGTCCAGAGCTTTGAGTGTGGCGGCAGCCACGAGAGAGCACAGGAATGATCTCCAAAGCACACGCCGTGGGAAGTAGGTGCTTATTTCTTCGTAACTGAAAAGAACACCGCCAATGGGGGCGCCAAAGGCGACAGACAGGCCGGCGGAACAAGCCACGCTAAGCATTTCTCTCATCTTGCGCTGGTTTTGTGCATATTTGGGTATATGCTTCGCAACCAGATGTCCTACGCATGTTGAGATGTGAACAAAGGGGCCCTCCTTGCCCAGACACATTCCAGTAGCCACCGCAAAGGTTGCACCAATGGCCTTGACGGCGAGCACTTTGAACGTCAGGTAGTGCGGGATGACGAAGCCACAGAGTATTGTCTTGATCTCGGGTATTCCGCTACCGGCGGCCATGTACATCATCTTGCCCTGTGGCCTGTCGACCGGTGGTGTGTCCTGGCTACCGTTCTTGTCATTGGTGTCAGCAACATTCAGGTCCACGACCGGGGGCAAGTGCATCTTTGTTGTTGTTGTGACGCCGGCCGCAATGACACCGAACAGCAGGGCAAATGCGACATATATCAGATATGCCGAGGGGAAGCTTTCTGACCACGGTTTCCACGCTGTGCAGTCTTCGTGGGCAGCGCAACAGGCTCGCCGATTCTGCCAAATGTTTGAAGTGCAATAGCCGTCTTTCCAATCTGCGACGGTCTCGACGCTGACATCGACGACAAAGGCAACACAGGCGGTTATGAGGCCGACGAGGAAGGCTGCCACCCAACCGGATGCTGAATCCCAAGCTTTGGCTATTCGCACCCAAGTTGTATTTACGCGTCGAACTTTGGCGTCTCGTATGCCGTGGCGCGTGTTGTCTTTGACCAAGTCATGAAGCCAGTCAATAGTGGCATAGTCCCTGTAGGGTGTGTCGTCACCGTCGTAGGTTGAGTGTAGGGCTAGATGGTGGTTGAGGTTACGAGAGGAGCGCAGTGACTCTACATCGCGGCCATGACTCGCATGGAGGAGCGGCGTTGTCTCTGACAGATGCGGTTCTGTGTTGTTATGCTGCTCATTACTGGCGTTGGCCATGGCGAAAGATTCGGTCAGGCCCGAGACGACAGGTTTTAATAGGCACAGGCCTGGATGTTGGGCGGGTGCCAGCAGAGAGATGTGTAGGGATCGTACAGGTCAAAGGATGGCGAGGAAGAGAAGAGGTTCGCCAGGCATAGACAAACAACATTGACTGCAAAACTGCGATGCAGTGAGCGCAACAAACACTAGGAACAAGGAAGACTAGCGGACATTGAAAATATCGAATAAATGCCACGCGGGCTCCTGAGAAGGGCCAGCCGGAGATATGGAGAAGTTGAGATTGGTATGCCGGCTACTACATCATCGAGCGCGAAGGCAACATGGAGGGTAACTCCAGATGGCAACTCCGGACGTTGTGCACCACAAGATTGCATCGACTCGAGTACCAGACTAGAGTTGGGTACATGTCTGGTACGATGCTCCCTGCATTCACAGGGCAAGCGGCCAACTGGGACTTTTCGGTGCGGCAGGCGCGACGGCCGCCTTGTCCATCAAGAGCCACCTTTGGCCGCCCTGACGATGGCTGCATGTGCCACCCTCGCTTGACGTCATGGTAGCGATTGGCGCTCAAGTGCTGTCTCAAGAGTGATCTTTGTTCATCTTTGTGGGGAGGTTGTCGGTCATCTGATGCGGTGAGACGAGTGCACCAACCACGAAACCGCCGAGGGTTTGCCAGCGGCTGATGCCTTTGCGAGCTCTGACGGAGGTGGACTGAAAAGGCGTGACAGAATCACGGGAGTCATTGTGCGGATTGGAGATGCCAGATTGAGGGTTCAAAGGGCGATCTAGATCTTGGCCAGGGTCCAGGGGAGACGTCTGCTTTCACCCTGCCGCTGTCTACGGTCTATGTGCGGAGTACGTAAGACTACTACGTACCGGCATGTCCATGCACTTATCCGGTTCTGGTAGAAGTGCCAAGATCCTTGCAAGTACTTGACTCAAGTATCCCCCACACATGTGCAGACCCCGTACTCCGTACCCTGAGGTGGCATGTCCGCCCAACTGTCTGCGTGACGTGTACTTTTTGCTTCTCCTTTTCATAATAAATTCTCGTTGCAGCCACGCAAGCGGCTTTCATCGCTTTGGGCATGGACGTTGTGGTAAGTGAATTATGAAACAACAGCCACTCCCGTGGTCTCTTGTACAACCTTTTCTGATTGGACATGTGGTGAATATTGACGGCAGTAAACCATGATGGTGCCAAGTCATCCTGGAAGCATCTTGACTGGAATGTCTGCGGTAGTGCCAACAAGGTTCGTTGTCTCCGATGGACGATCTCCAGGCCCAATGTGCTTTGACCCCTTTATGTACAACTCTGGTTGTGAGTTCTGTTGATGAAGAATCGATGGATGAGATCTGTGCCTTCTTGGCTTTCCCCGGTGAACTACTCTACGATCAAACATCTACCATCAATTTTTATATAACTGGGAAACAACAAACATAACAACGTGTCGCTGGCTCATCGCAGTAACAGAGAGCCATGACCCGGCCATTTGTCTGTCCTTTATCCCGGAGACTCCTTTTTGTCATGGCCAATTTGCGCAATCGTGTGCCAAGTTCAACTTACATCTAATAATAAACCTAGTTACAAGTACATACATACATACATCAAGCCTCGGATGCAGTTAGCAGCATATCACTGTCCTATTCCTCGACCGACAGCATACTGCTAAGGGTGTATTGCTGCTGAGTCTCGACAACCTACGTGCCCACGGACCTGTTCTCTCACCAACCCGCCGCGTCCTTTTTCGCCACATGGGAAGATGCTCGGTCCAGACCCAGTTTCCAAGACTGCCAAGACTTCAAAGCCCCTGAGCGCATCGTGCGGCTATGTACTGCAACAAGATCTGTATATCCTTGCACGAACGGAGCGTTTTTTCTATCGGGTCGAATATCCCCCACATCCCGATTCAGATGCCGAGGCGCCCGACTTGCAAATTGACAATGCAGACGATGTGATTGGTCCGCCTCGAGTTTGTAAACTCTCCCATGAACTACCGGGACGCGTATGCTGTCGCTAATTCTTCACGGAAAACATGCTTCGTGGGGATAAAGTTGTTTTGGCTTCTTGATTCAGCCGGGCCGTGCATGCCACGCTACGAGAGAAGGCCGCGTCTCCTATGAAACTGGAAGAACTCCCGACTGATAATTGCTACGGCTGGAGGTGATGACGAGTCCAGCTATTCGCTCCGCCGGGCATCACCTATAATAAGGGCGACGGAACCTCCGGAGTTGATTCAAAAAGACTTGGGATACATGTTCACTGTCCATTGATACTTGTTAAGCTGCACTTTTCTCACCATGCATCTCCAAGCGCTTGCATCGTCTGTACTTCTTCTCTCCAGTGTGGCTGTGGCCCATCCTGGCCATGATCTCACCGAGGAGATTCTTGAGAGGCGATCTTTCAAAAATTCCGTCCGCCGTGCCTCACTGAGCCATTGCGCCGAAAAATTGAAGGCGCGCGGAGTCCAAGCTCGCAACCTGGAGCGAAGAGCCGCAACTGCAGCTCTGGCTCGTCTTTCCCGGGGCGTTTCCACGAGAGATGCGGACTCAGCGCTTGGCGAGTCGCATAACAAGACCAGCCTCGGCTACTCTGAGAATACCAGCATCTCGGAACTCTTTTCCGGCAATGCCTCATGCGTACTTACACCAGAAGTTACCCAAGGTCCATACTGTATGTCAACTCCCTCCATGCCACTCATGTTCCTGAATCTAACCACCGGCGCAGATGTGGGCGGCGAACGCATCAGAAAGAACGTCACTGACGGCCAAGCCGGAGTGGATATAACCTTGGACTACCAGGTCATTGACGTTGATACGTGTGATCCCGTGCCAAACGTATACATCGAGATTTGGCATTGCAACTCCACGGGTGTCTATTCCGGCGTTGTCGCCAACGGCAATGGGGATTCGTCCGACGAGACCAATATCAACAACACCTTTCTACGGGGCATACAAAAGACAGACTCGGACGGTGTGGCCCAATTTGACTCACTCTTTCCCGGGCACTACACCGGACGGGCGACGCACATCCACGTCATGGTGCATACCAATGCAACCGAGCTGTCGAATCAGACATTGGGCAATCAAGTCTATACTAGTCACGTAGGACAGACCTTTTTCGACCAAGATCTGATTACTGCCGTCGAAAAGGTCGAGCCATATGCCTCCAATACGCAGCCATTGACCGAGAACTCGGGCGATAGTATTCTGTCCGAAGAGGCTGATACGACTGATCCGCTGATGGCCTACACATTGTTGGGAGACAGTGTCGCCGACGGTCTCTTTGCTTGGCTGGCATTTGGCATCAACACATCCTATGTAAACGAGGTTCAACCTGCCTCCTTCTATTACGAGTCAGGCGGCGTTGAGAACCCCAATGGTGGGTTCGGCGGTCCTGGGGGGAATGGAGGCGGCGGCCCTCCTCCCAGCGGTGCTCCTGGCGGCCGGCCTGGGGGGAGCAATGGCACGGGCACCTCGGGAGGCATTGCCTCGCCTACCGCCGTCAGTATGGGAAATAGGTACACCATTGGCGCTGTGACATTCTCCTTGGTAGGCCTTTTGCTGCCTCTGCTCTGGCTCTAAGGCTTGTTGCCGCGTGTGGATAGGCTCGTGAGCTGCGTTGGTGTTGGCGCCCATGAAGAAATTGCCATTTATAGGGATGGGAATTACGGTACGCTGCTATTATCTTGCTCTGAAATTTGGACAAGTTGCTACTAAAAGTCGGGCTTGGGTGGGCGAAGAACCTGAAATCCTGACAGGACATGCAATGGCAGTTATATTTAGGTTATTAAACAGAGCAAGTTTCGAGCTTCAAGACTAGTATTTGTTTTCTTATGGATAGTTTTGATACAAAGTTGCTCTGGCCCCGCCGCGAAGCACTTACAGACAGCGTTTTTCTGTGAAATATATGCCCAGACGCCAATGCCACAACATGTCACCAAAGGCAAGCTAGCTTTCTACATACATACATGCCAAGCACCACATAATGCCATGACATGTTCAACCCCCTTCCAGGTCCACAACGTATCTCTGCTGCAAGTCCGTCTCTTCCTTGGTACGTGAAGCCTTAGTCCGGCTGGTGCTCCTCAACTCCCGGAGGTGCGGCGTCCTATTTGCCGAGCCAAAAGTCTCTGGAGCGAGCCGAACCAAGATGAGCCGCAGCGTAGGCAGACAGCTACATATCATGCCGACGTTTATTTCAATGATGGACCAATACGCTGTCGTCCACTGGTCCCACGTCGGATTATCCGACTTGGCAAAGTGAATCAACGACTGCAGCCGCAACGCGGACACGACTGTGACGCTGGCAATCAGTCAGCTGGCAAGAACTCAAGTTTGTAGAAGCAAAAACGTAGCTGGGTAGCCTACAAGGTTCCAAGGAGAAACATGATAGCCACGCCGACCTTCTTCTTCCAATGCAGCCTCAGGGGAAGCACTTGGCTCATGGGCAGGGCAATCATCCACAGATCAATAGCCAGGCCGATGGCCGCATTCAGCCACCCATACAGATTAATATTGATGCATACGCCCTCCGCGGGGTCGAAGAACTGGTCCCAGTAGAAGTCGACGGGGATGCACTGGAAAATGGCGCCCGTGACAAAGATCAGGCCGTACAGGAGGTTAAAGGCCACCGTGGCCCGCAGCACGGCCGGCCTCACGGCCGCGGTAAAGAGGCGCAGGTAGAAGAGCGAGATGCTCAGCTTAACGAGCGAGATGCCGGCCAGGTACAGAATCTCCATGACGTAGAAATACAGCACAAAGCGGGAGATTTGGGCCGGCGTTACGGTCCAGACGTCCCTGCCGAGGCCGTTGGCGGTCATGCCGCGGAGGATAATGACCAGGCCGGCGATGCAGATGACCAGGGTGCCGAGGATGGCCCAGTCGTCTGCGCTGAATGTCTTGGTCGGGTGGAAGAATTGCTTGAACACGAGGCGTGTTACGGTGATGACGATGGTGATGACGCCGAGCGCGATGACGGTGTTGTTGAATTCTGCGGATCGGTCTCGGATGGGTGCCTGGCATGCTGTCTGCGTGGCATTTTTCGTGGCTGTTATGCTCTGTCAGTTGGACTTTTTCTCTTGTCTATTTCTCGCTCTTTTGTGTTTATTTTTAAATAATAACAGCGACAGAGGGTGAGGGTTTCATGACCCAGTTGTATATCAAAGCGCAAAAGCCACCAAACTTACATAGACCATCGGAGAATGAGCAGCGAGCCTCGACACAGATGGTTCCTTCTTCATTCGCGGTCTTGTCGGCGCAAAGACATGGGATGTCGTCGGGAGAGCAGGTTGAATTGGCAACAGCCGAGGCAATGCAAGGGATCTTTAGGGTGTCGCATCAGTTCGCGGCAGCACTTGACATGTACAGAGCACAATGGATGGAGACGGGACGTACCGCGCATGGTGGCAGCTTGGCGATGATGATGCTTGCACTTGACTCCGGTGACGGTGACGGTGAAGGTGACGGTGAAGATGCCGCCGGACCCCCGGTGCTGGGTCCGGCTGTGACGGAGGGAAGGAGCGCCGGTGCGCCGGCGAGAACGGCCCAAAATGGCAATCGCATCATCAGTCAATTAATCAATCAATCAATCAATGCACGGCCCTCATGGCGAGCAAAGCGAATGTCGCGTCAGGAAACATGGATGGATCATTGATGCATCCGCGAGGGTCGCAAATTGCAACGTTGGCTTATGGAACAGGGAATTTCTGATGCAGACGTTGGGGTGGTTCGCGATAAATCTTCATTTACACCTCGGCCAGACGGCCAGGGCATGGGCTGATCAACCCTCGATTCGCAACGTGGTCACGCAACCATGTCGATTTATCCCGCGAGTGTGAGCCGAAAGAGGTTTAGATGAGGGCAATCGAATGCCGAGCGTTGGCAGACATGTCAAGCCTCTGTGGCAGAAACTCCACATTCTGACCTGGGGGAGAGATGCGATTGATTTGTGTTAATTGCCACAGGAACGGCGAAGGGGTCCTGGGGTCGAATGACAGCGTATCAAGACGTGTGTGGCTGCGACAAGTCTGTGGAGAGATGGATTTTGCCGTCTTCAACGAGCTTGTCCTTGGGCGGCTTTTGGTATGAGGGTAATTGTGGCTGAAGGCGTCGAATTATGGAATTGCCGTGGAACATGCCGTTGTGCTTCCTCAAGTGTCAAACGAGGGCAATATATTCCGAGCGGGAAGAATGGAAGAGGGAAACGGTGCTCGGCCCATGGTCCTGTCCATATCCGTATGTTCCGACCATGTCCGAAACATGTCGCCAGTCCGGCTCATGCCCGGCGCCTACGAGAGGCAGCGCTCTTTCTAGATTATTTTAGGCATTTTGAGTAAGCTTGAAAGATAAAGTGTCCCGACTACTACATACATCCGCTCTGTGTCGTGACCTTCCCCGCTGGGTTTGGCGGCAGGTTTGAGTGGCCCTCTAGAGTCCAAACGAGAGAGTGTATTGGTTGATCCGGTGTTGCCAAGCACATGAATTCACGCCTCTGGTCTAGGAGGAAGATGAGTCCGAACTGGTGGTTCTACGGAGAACCACAAAAAGGGCAACTAGTGAGAGCCGGCGCAGAGAAAACGATTCTCCAACGCATCCGGCCATCGACAATCTCTCCATTTCGCCCATGCGTAGTTAGTAGTTACCAAGACGGACTTTTCAAAGCCAACCCGGCGCTACCTGAGGAGCGGGCTCCAGCCTACGCCCTCTGTAGTTTACGAAAGACATCATCACCTGCTTGTTGACTAGGTCCTGTCTGCCACATACCATTTCATACGCCCAACAGACAACTGAAAAAGAGCCGAGGCGGGCACAGGGCAGAGACGACATGTAGGAACCGCTCATGTAACACAGATTGATAGTTGCCCCATCGGGAGATTTCCACCGGGACTATATCGCGCGCCCGACATGCGCGTGTACCCTGCTAGATGGGTATGGCCGACGGTGGAGAAGTATTTGTCTACACGAGGTCTATGCGCCGGCCATGCAGAGAACAATGGCACTGACAGAGGTACTTTTGATACATGTCGTCAAGGTGCTTACACCTTTTGATGCGCGGATCGCCATGGCCATCCGCACTGGCGCCTTGAGGCAACCGGCACAGCCTTGCACGACCTGCCTAATGCCGCTCTTTTATGGGGAATAGCAGTGCTAGTACCTTGAGATCTCGTGTTTAGGCTTCCCGCGTGCTGTTTATGAAGCCGCCTGGCGCCATCCTTGTTGGCGTGCGTGTCCCGAGTCCTGACTAGGGTTCAACCTTCACGGCCATGATATAATCTGGAGGCCGAGCATCTCACATATCGGACCGCTCAGCCTCGTGGACAGCCTCAATAAATATGTCGGTGCGCTTGTCATCTTGGCCATGTCGTTGAGCGCCAACTTGTGTCTTGTGCGTTTGTCCAATCGCGATTCTATATACTCATCTCGCTGTTCAACCGGTAGGGTGTACACTGTACCCAAGGCCAATATACGGGCTTTACCAGAGGGGAGTTTTCCAATGCCGCTAGCTATTTCTTGGCTGGTTCTGGAATTTGCTCAACTTCCTATCAGGGCAACTACTTAGAGGCAAGTTGTGTTGTCTGGACACGGAAGAATGGACAACTCAAGAGCGGAACTCTGCCGAACTCTACCCACGCTTGTTGAACATAGAGAAAGCAAAAAAAAAAGGAAAAGATACTTTGGCTGAATCAAAAATAGGTCATCCCAACGTATCTGACTCCGTTTTGTGTCTTGGCTCGATCAAAGACTGTTGCAAAACATGATCGACAAGTTAGCTAAAATGACAGCCACTGGCTTTGCTTCTCGACAGTTCATGGCCACGCTACATGTGTAGCATCGCAAGGTGACTCGGAAGACGCCAAGGTGTGCTGCGGATAGCTAGTGCCCGTTGACTGCAGATCCTAACTCTTTACTGCAACGTCCTGCCTTTTGTGTGCCTAGCTGACTAGCTAGACTGGATAAGAGCACCATTTCGGTGATATAAAATGCGCCTGACGAGGTTGGACCGCATGACCTTCAACCGAACCTACTTCGGCATAGTAGGGATTCTGCCATGCGGGTGGATGAACCTCAGCACGGCCACCATTCCCAATGTAATGAAAGAATACTCGTGTAGTAGGGTTCAGTGGCTACTCGGTCAGATGAAGACATGGACTATAAAGGGGTGATGAATCCGGCTAATCATGAAGTGTTCCATGGCCTCATCACCAGCACTGGAACATTCCTTATATATCCATTCTTTAAGTCTATACTCTTGTCGGTGAAACTCGCCACACCATCATGTACTCCCTCGGCAAGACGGCCGTCTTAGCACTCGCCGCCGCGGGTACTAGCCACGGTCTCAGGGCTACCATTCTGGCAGACACAAACCGGGATGGACGCGTAGATGTCACCGGTGAGACGGACGTTGATGGAAAGGCCACTTGGACCGAGGAGCGAGGAGCCCTATTCTTGCCAAACATCGTGGATACCAACCGCCGGTGCTCGCAAAGAATTACATCGGGCACGACTGAAAATGGCCTTGCAGAATGCCACGATGCATCTGACAATATTCTACGCAACCCAAAGTACCTCGCTCCGCTCCGCACCGTCCCCATCAATAACTTGACCAGCTCTGCTACGGGTACTATTACCATCTCTGGTAAATATGCCCCTGAGAAGGTCCGAGTCTTCCACAAGGATAATGGTAAATGGACCTATATCGATAGCAATTACCAGTTCCGGGGTGACGCCTTAGGAACTGGTCTAGAATTGGGAATCGATGCCCGAGATGTCCGTCGACCCAACGAGTGGGATGGCAGAGTCTATGTTCACTTCAACGTGACTGATAACGGAGAGACTGCTTCCGATCAAGTTGCCCTTCGCGTGGCACCAATCTTGACACACCATCATCTCCAAGCTCCGGACCAAGTCTTCACGGTTGCCGGCAGAGGCCGGCCGGCGCAGGCGCAGTTTGCGGCGTTTATTGCGAATTACACAGCCCAGGCCGGAGTCAAGAAGCCCGTTTACATGTTCGACGAGTCCGACGTCTGGGCCCAAGATTACTTCGAACCAGGCTACACCAGCATCCCGGGCCCCAAAGGCCCCGTATACCTGCGAGTCAACATCAGAAGCAGCCAGCCGTGGCGCAGCGCCGGCCGAAGGGTATTCTCCGAACTGAGGTCCGACTCCGTGGGAGCCGTCCAACACTTCGCCGCCGGAACCCCCGAGGCACCCCCGACCATCGACTCGACGGGAAACCTCGAGACCATCCCGCCGTATTCATACAACGGCAAACATTACCCTGCCGGCAGAGCAGTCATGGGGAGACACAATAATATAACCCCGACAATGATGTCCTTCCTCAAGGCCCAGGAGGCCCAGCACCCCATTGACGACCTCGACCACGACTGGCTCTCAGTCGGCCACACCGACGAATACATGCAGTTCCTGCCCGCGAACAACTCGCGAGGCTGGATCATGACCGCGGACGACCCTGCTCTCGGACTGAGCCTCCTCAAAAAGGCACGGGCCGACGGGCACGGCAAGGTGCAAGCCATGTCGCGCAGACACGAGCCGTACGACACCGAGGCCTGCCTTCCAGCCAACGACATCGATGGCGTGCTCGGCCTCGCCAACTTTGACAGCGTCAACCAGCACTGCGCAGACCGAATCCAGCACAACATCGACATCATCAAGCGAGAAACCGGCATCACGGACGAGGAAATCGTCCGAATTCCCAGCCTCTTCTACTACAACAACATCGAAGGCTTCAACTGTAACAGATACGCAGCCCGGGGCCTCGGAGGAAGGAGAACCGCTCAGACCAAGAACATCATCGAGGCGGCTGAGGCGGGCAGCCATCTGCACAGTCGGCAAGAGCAAGAGGAGGCCCAGCCGCGCATGCTGGCGCTGTATCCCGCGACTATCAACGGCGTCGTCTACGACGACCGCCGGTACATGGCGCCGAACCCGTGGGGGCCCGTCATCGGCGGAAGGGATATCCTGGCCGAGGCGGTTCGTGCAGCCTACGACAAGGCCGGCTTCCAGGTTACTTTTATGGACGACTGGTTCGACCATCATGTTTTAAATGGCGAAACGCACTGCGGGTCGAATGTGGCTCGTGACGCTTCTCAAAAATGGTGGTAGGTGGCAGGTGCTGTAAATAGAACGAGTTAAAATTTCTATACTACTAGATATTATTATATACTACTAGATATTATTATATACTACTAGATATTATTATATACTACTAGATATTATTATATACTACTAGATATTATTATATACTACTAGATATTATTATATACTACTAGATATTATTATATACTACTAGATATTATTATATACTACTAGATATTATTATATACTACTAGATATTATTATATACTACTAGATATTATTATATACTACTAGATATTATTATATACTACTAGATATTATTATATACTACTAGATATTATTATATATTAGTATAATAAGTTATTAATAATAATAAAAAAAAGCTAGTTAATTACTAGGACCTACTAGTAGTATAATCTAGTAGCCGTACCTGGCTTAATTGACAGTAACGGCCATTACAAAAAAACACTGCGTACACGCATCGCGATGCGTCAAATCCACATACATTATTATATATTATTATATATTATTATATATAAGACATTACTCTTTTAAGTACTCTCTGACGATATAATTTTTCCTCCTCAGCGCCACTAGACACCAGAGTCTTGCTTGCTTCAACACGTCTTTCTCGCGATTCGCCAAGGCTCAAAGGATGCTTTGCAAAAAAGTCGAGGATCATCGGGGTTGCATTAAAACTCGCGACATGGTGGCCATGTTTTTTATTATCGATATTAGGCACCGTACTTGGCCAATCATGGCCGATGGCAGAGTCGTAGACATGCTCGACCAGTCCAGCCTTGCTCCCCTGCCCAAAGGTGTAGAGAACAGTATTTTGAGAAACGTGAGTAGTGGTGTTGTCGGTTTCCAGCCCATCGAGGGAGGCCCATTGTCGGATAAAGTGTGGGATGGCAGGAAGGCATTCCTTCTTGCGGCTACCGCCTTGGTAAGAAACGACTGTGTCCTTGCCACCGTGAAACTCAAGGAAAGGCACGTCCGCCCTGCTGGGATGGCATGGAAATTTCACGGTTTTGGGTCTACAAGGTCGCGAGTCGATGTAAAAGGCGCCGGAAACAGGTGCGAATGCTGCGATGCGGCTAGATAGCCCCGGATCACAGGCTAATAGATTGCAGAACCCCCCACCGTCCGATTTACCTGTCGCCGATATGCGCGCAGGGTCAATGCAATACTGATCCTGAACATGGTCAAGTATATCGGATGTGAACCGGATATCGTCAGTCGTCGCGCCAGGAACACCTTGCCATGTTTCCTTGTGCTTGTCAGCATTTCCCTCGTAGCGAATTGAGCAGCAGGATGAAATGACTCTTCTTACATCAATTCCCTGTGGATAGATTACAATCGCAGCCGAGTTGAATTCTGGATTTGTTAATTGATCCAACTTTAATTGGTCCTCTGCACATCTACCGCCACCGTGATATGACAGAACCGCAGCAGCGGGAGTGTCTGAATGGTATCCCGGAGGTATCGAGAGGAGAAAGGTGCGTTTTTTCCCACCACTTTTTATATGGATGGTAGAGACTCCTCCGGTGAGCTGGCCTTTGGGCAAGGGCTTGTAACATCCGGCAGGCAACGCAGGAGAACCCTCGCTGGGTAGCGCAGAGGCTCCTATTAGCGTAAACAGGAACGCAAAGGTGAGCAGCATTGTCTTGGGCAGAGTGTGAGTAGAAATGTTTTGCTTTCCAGCACCTCGTTCTTTCGGGGTGGAGGAGGGGAAGAGACGCAATTGCAAACATCCAAGATAGAATCCACAAGCTATATATTTGGAACCGGCACACAGCTCGCATAGCAGACTTCTTTGGACGTGCAGCTTCGCTCGCCTGAAATGGCATCTTAGATCAGCGCTAGTCATTGCGCACAGGGCTCACATGCATGCATGCATGTTGCATTATCGAGAGCCGGTGCCTTCGGGAGCTTGGGGACAGATGCGTTCTTCGTGGTCGTGTTGCCAACCTAAATGCGCCGAAGTTGCCGGTGTCCTTTTCGCCAACGACGGCTCGGCATTCATTTTGGAGCCAGTATGTCTTCAAACTTGGCATCATGTGGCAACCGTTGGCGGCTACCCCAAAGTTAAACGTGCTTCATAAGTATCAATCGACACACACCGAAACATCCTGCTCCAAGATGGAGCCAGTAGTACGCGTGATGGTGGAAAAAAGATGTCCGATATTCAGCGAAACTGCATTTTTTGAAAAGAAAGGCTCAATTTCTTCTCGAACGAATAAAACGACGCCAGTTCGGTAGTGAATGGTTGAATGGCGTGAAAGAAGGCTGGGGTTTTCGGCACTCGAGCACGTTGCTGCTTTGAAGTGCCTCAGGCAACAAGGCTGCTCCACCTCTCAACGGTCAACTACGCCAACTAAACTCTGTAGCTGCGTGGTTGGCAGTGGCGGGGAAAGTCTAGAAGCACATCACCTGGTCAGACGACAGAGAAGTCCTGGACTGGCAAGCTCATCAACGTCATTACATTGCAGTGAAACGCTGTACCGCAACGCCTCTGCACGCCCGCCTTCCCGGCTCATCTGTTGCAGCCTATTGCGAGTTTCTGGTGGAGTCCACTCTGCAGGTCCTGTGTGATCTTCAGGATTGGAGTACCACAGCTCAAGCAGGATCCTACATCGATGGAGACTTACCAGTCCCTTTACCGAAATCATAGAGACAATACTAATTCTTAGAACGTCGTAGTCACAGCAATCAATATGCAGAAGACACACCACTGACAGGGCAGAAGAAGAAGATGATGATGAGTCATATATACATCTATGCTATGCGACAACCCAGAATGAGCTAAAAAAAAAAAAAAATCAAAAATAAATCGCTTTTATATGCCAGCCACTCAGTTATTAAAGTGAGGAGTGTTGAGTAGAATACCCATCAGACAGCCACCGATCAAGCCTGCAATGGGAATAGTCATAAACCAAGAAAAGACTAACAAGCCAACTCGTTGCCAGTTAACAGCCTTAAAGGTGCCATTGCAGAGGCCAACGCCAACGGTGGCTCCCGTAATGCACATGGATGTCGAAACTGGAAGCGAATACTGTGAGAAAACGAGCACCGTAATAGCAGCACCCATTTCCATGGAGGAGCCTCGGCTAGGTGAGTGGTACGTGATTTTATTACCCATGACTTAAAGCATGTTAGCGTCTTGTGTGTGGGATCCGAGAAGGTGGGAATCATATGCCTTACCCTTCATAATGTTATAACCGTACGTGATAAAACCGATACAGATAGTCAATGCTATAACAGCAATCTGCCATAGTTCCACAGGCGAGCTGGACGTCAGAGCCTGGCCAGTAGACCACGCAGAGTACATGGCGGCCCAGACACCAACAGCATTACCGACGTCGTTGGCGCCGTGGGCAAAAGAGGCCGTACAGGCAGTAATGACTTGGACAAACGAGTACAAGTACTCAACCTCGTTGGGATACTTGGTCGCCTTGTCATAAACGCGCTGCATGCGGCGGCCCTCGGGGGTGCCCTCGATACCGACTTGAGCAGTATGGATGTCATAATGCATACCATAGAGAAGTGCAACGACAACCATGGCGGGAATACGCTTGCAGAGAGCAATCATATTATGCGTCTCATAAAGAGATCCGGCGCCCATGGGGTTAGCATGCAGCGTCCGCATCGCCCAGCCAAGGGGACCGCGGGTCTTCCTAAGCTTGGCGTGGTGACGCTCTCTTGCTTCGGCCATAAGCCTCTGGTAGCCTTGTTGATTGCATTCCGCCAAGATGAGTTTCTTTTCGGCAACATTGTTGGCAGGATGCACAGGCGTGCCGGGCTTCTCGCCATCGGTGACGGTACCGGACGCCCCTTTTGTGTCAAAGACTCCCGCATCTGACTGGCTGTTGTCGTCACTAACTTCACCGTGATGGACGACGGCATAGTCAGGCACCTTGGCCTCTACTGCATCTTCTGGGGGCTGACGGCTAAAGAGAAGAGGGCCGTAGATGGCATGCTTCCATGAAATTGTGTAATCCTTCTTGAGCACTTTGGCATGAACGAATGGCACAAAGAAGAGTGCAGCCAGTACGAACAGGCTCCATCCGACTCCGAGAGTGACGGCGGCAATATACCAAGCTGGCTTTTTATCCAGGCCAAGTCTTGGGGAGCCCTTGTAGACGACGGAAAGGGTGCAAATAACACCAGCGATTAGGAAGAAGAAGGGCGACGTCCAAACAGCCCAGGGGATAGGGTTCTTTCGAACGTGAACAACCAATTTGATAAGCATAAATATAATGGCACCAAAGCAGGCAGAGATGGCCGGCGCCATGCCGAGGCCGGCAAAGATGGCACCAAGACCTTTACCATTATTCCATCCCCACTGGACGCCAGAAGCACCCACGGTGGCCACGCCGACACCAGCAATGGATGAAATCAGAGAGTAGGTAGATGAGACGTGGGCTGAGTGTCGGGTACACCATTGAACCCAGAGAGATGCGCCAGCGGCGGCACATGTGAAGGCCAGTAGCTGGACGCCAGGGTTGTTCTGAAACGCGGACAGAGGGATGATTCCATTCTTGATGGTCGACGCGGTTCGGGCACCTACAGTCAGAGCACCGAGCATTTCAAATACAAGGCACAGGACCATGGCCTGTCTGTATGTCACAGACCGTGAGGACACGCTGGTCGCCCAAGCATTGGCGACATCATCTATTGGTGAACCCCGTGTTAGCTAAATCTCTGGGCACGCAGCCAAGAACCTGTCAAATCACACATACTTGCACCGTTGTTGAAGGCTTCGAGCAAGGCAAAGCCAGTGCCGATGACAAACACGTACGTGTACTCGGTGAGCACCATGTTGTCTGCTGTCTGGAGCTTGTCTTGCGGCCGTGAATTGCCCAGGTGTAAGCTGGGAGGAAAGAAACTGACGACTGGGTACGGGTATGATCTGATTTCTGTCCACCGGGCAGGAGCAAATGCTTTTATTATATGTACTGGCCTCCATGGCGTCCTGTATGTGCTCCGCAACTCACTCCCACGTTTCCATGTGGTTGAACGGCTGACGGCCCTTCGACGTTCGGTGTCTGCTTCTGGTGAGCCAAGAAGCCAAGGCGATAGTGGCGACAAGCTGCTCCAGCACGGAGAATTGCCCTTGTCCAATGAGCGAATTGCAGGCTTACAATTAAGCTTAATGCGGGCTTGGGGGGCTTGAGTCGGCATGTCTTGGCAGTCCCGCTGCATTGGCAGATCAACCTCCAGGCTCGCCAATCACATACACATGGAATCCCACGTGTAGGAGAAGCACACCAAGGACCGCGCAGAGGTTGGGCGTGCCAGGTATTTTTTGTAATTTTTTCAGTCGGTCTTTCTTCCTGACAGGGCAAGAGGTCATGCTGCGTTTTCGCGTCTGTGTTTGAAAGCGTTTCGGGAGAGCTGGACGTTTGCCCACGTGTCTACCGACGTCCCTAAACGGCATGATCTAGACCCGGTAGACCTCGCTGACTCCGTTGCGCACAAGTTTTATCATCCTGTCTCGGCCTGTTTCTCCTGAAAGCCCACGTTTACGAGACGAAATCTTGCATGAGCATGTAATCTCTCGTTCGGCCACTTGCTGTATTTGGTCCGTCGATGACATCCAGGTGAAGCCGCCTGCCCCCGCATTGTGATACTACTGTGTAAACGTCCTTTGTATGGAGTACATATACGGAGAGGCCGGTCCATGCCCCGGCCCTTGAGGTTCCTTCACTTGGACTGGCCCAGGTGGAGCGCAAACCGGAGTATGGTTTTGTGTACCGAGTATCGAGTAATGGCACCAGGGTGTCCCAGAAAACAAAGAATCTCCATGTCTCTGTTGTATGGCCCGTTCTGACAAGAGAGGCAGGCAGTCGGCTCTCGAGATTCGGTATACGAACACGGCAACGAAGATGAGAACAATTGGCAGGCACTAACTAGCCGCTGAGTCGCAGAATATCCTTCCCAAATACTAGAAGCGCTAGTCTTGAAACCGTTGCCCACCAGGATGAGTTTGCGCAGATTCCGGAGTGTGCTCAGTAAACAAGAAACTCCTGGGGTGCTCATCGCCGCCAGTTAGTTATATGCAACATGTATCTGCCAACAACTCGTCGGATCTCGGCGGCTGCATTTGCCTATTTCGCTAACCCGGACACTTACAAGACACAAGCGTTGCAACAATGCCCATCGGGCGAGGAACTAGGGCGCCTTTCCCTTCAAGCCACTCGTATGCTTTCCTCACCGACACGCCATGTTTGGTGTTGCGCTAAGCTCAGCCTCAGCCTCATGTGCTAGAACAGCCGCGGCTGTTGCTGTCTTTGGAGAGTAAGCTCATGAGGCGGGGGATCTGCACCGAACCAATAATCAATACAGCCTCGGCTTCGGCTGTGGCATTAGAACGACTAGATTGACTCATATTCGACTAAGCAACGGGTAACTTACTTGGCCAGATTGATTGATTCAATACAAGACAGCAATTGCCCAATATGCCTCAAGATATCCCGAAGGGAGCACGTGCGACATTTTCCGAAGCCACCAAGGTTGAACAGCTAGATTCGCAAACTTACCAAATCAACCTCCACAGCGACTATTGCGTCGGCAAAGGCAAGCAATAGCTTCCATCTTCTGTCTTGCGAGGCAAAGCTTTGTTCTAACCATAAGATCACAGTCCCCAACGGAGGCTACACAGCATCATGCATGCTCGTAGCGGCCAACAGACACCTCGCTTCACGTGGACAGTCCGACACATTCACAGCCCACTTTGAGTATCCCAATCGAACATCGTCTGGGCCTGCCGTTATCGTTATCGATGAAGTGAAGCTAGGCCGGACGCTTTCGACCTTGCACCTTACCCTCTGGCAAGGCGACCTGCTCGCCAATGCACCCTGGGTCAAC